TATGTCATAAGAATGCAAAGTATTACAATTCATAAAAACAGTAGATTTAGATGAGGAAGACTTAGATAATTCAAAAGAAGGTCCAGCTCTATTATGAGGAAATCTTTGTGAACTTAAATTGTTGTCTAACTTACTTTTGCCTTTCACAAAATTGTTCAAAGAACATTCAAGAGAGCTTATTTTCCCTTTTAATTCATCTACCAGCATATCATACTCTTCAATCAGCTTTTGTTTGCAATTTCTAAATGCAATTGTTGACTCTTCCAAGTTAATTTCCAAATTTTGACTAATTATCTTTTCCTCATTTAAAGATTCTTTCAAATCACTGTTTTCTTTTCTAAGTGAGAAAATTTCCCTTTTTCAAGATGCATTTTTTGCACTAATTTGTTTAGTATGCTCATATAATTCACTAAATGCATCTTGCAAATCTTCATATGGCATTTCATCATCACTAGCATGATCAAAATTAGAAGAAGAGATGGAATTTACCTCATCTACGTCATCATTTGCCATGAGACAAATATGAGCTTCCATGTCACTTACTTCTTCACTAGAAGATGAGTCCTCACTGCAACTCCATGTGGCAACCATTGCCTTCTTTTTCTTTTTGGCTTTTAGACTTTTTTCATCATTGTTTGGACACTCAGATTTAATATGTCCAGCCTTCTTGCATTTGTAACAGATAATCTCATCATTTTTACTGCTTTCTCCCTTTCCTTTACTGCTTTTGTAATCTTTCTTTTGTTGTCCTTGATTCTTCAGCTTCACTTTCCTCAAGAAACTCTTAAACTTTCGAGCAAGCACTATAAATTCTTCATCATCCTCTTCATGACTGTCACTTTCATCTTTGGAGGAGCTTTTGAAAGCTACGGATTTTTTCTTCCGAGAATCATCATCACTTTCATAATTTGTCATGGCCATTTCATGTGTAAGGAGCTTCCCTTGCAGCATCTCAACAGTCATGGCACTTAAATCATGAGCTTCTTCTATTGTTGTCTTGATTGAGCTCCAAGATTTTGGCAAGGAACGGAGAATCTTTCTGACCTTATCCTCTTCAAGAAGCACCCTATCAAAGAGCTTTAATTCATTAGTGATTTTGGTAAAACGAGTAAACATATCTTTAATTTCTTCATCTGATTTCATTTTGAACAGCTCATATTTTTGAACCAACATGTTAATTTTTGATTTCTTGACTTCATTAGTTCCTTCATGAGCCACTTGTAATTTATCCCAAATTTCCTTAGCAGAATCACATGCACTAATTATATCATATTCACTAGGATGTAAAGCACAAAATAATGCATTTTTAGCTTGAGCATTTATCTGCAGTTTCTTTTTTTCAGCTTGATCATATGATGTAGGATCCTTAGGAACAAGTTGGTTATCCTTGTCTCTAGCTAACACTTTATAAGGTCCTCTAGCAATGCAATCCCACATCTCATAGCTATTTGCTTCTAACCAAATCTGCATCCTATTTTTCCAGTATTGGTAATTTGTTCCATCAAAATAAGGTGGCCTAGTGATTGAATGACCTTCAACAAAATGAGCTTGGAAAGCCATGGATCTACTCAAGATTGTTAAATCTATTTCAAAGAGAACCTCCTCTGATACCAATTGTAATCCCAGCTAACAATTGATAAGTTATTGTGTAGAATAAACAAGAGTAATATAGGGCAGAAAAATAAAAAGAAAGGGAAGAGAAAATCAAGCCGTGATTTATAGTTGTTCCTCCAACCCAGAGTACATCCACTCCTCAAGCCTCCTTGCTCGAGAGTCCAATCCACTAGAAATCTCTTGCTTATAGGTGCAAGATTAAACCGAAACAACCTCTTGCTTGCGGGTGCAAGATTAAACCCTCACAAATGAATCTCAACTCACTCAACCCCTTCAAGGATTAACCCAATCCAAGAAGAATACAAAACCCTTGTAAGACAATATACCCAAAAGCTTACAAGAAGAAAAGAAGAAGGAAACCCAGAACTATTTCAAACCCAATTTCTATAGCAGTTCGTCCTTCTCCTCTCTGTTTTTCCAGATCTGATTTTTGGTGTTTTAATAATTGGTTGGGAGCCTTTCCATTAATTGCCCATTTAGACCTTCAAAGCCACCTCACAATTGCCCTAATTAGGTTCCACCTTATTCTTCTGACTTGTCTTGGAAAGTGCTAAGACATTTAGATACCCTATGACCCATTAAGAGAAAACATATAGTTGAGCTGTCAAAATTGAACTTTCCAGAATTTTTGCTTCAAAGCCATAAATATTGCTTCGAACCATTTTCGGAAAACAAAAGTCCAAGATTGATTCGAACCAAAATAAATTGGTTCGAACCCAGAACTCTGAACAAGGAGGAACATGAATTAATTCTAATCGTGGGGAAAGATTAGAAACCTTGGATTAATTTTCCTGCACACTTAGCACAAAAATAGATTAAACTCTTTTGAATCATGGTTTAAAATCATCATCAAAATACAAAGAGAACCTAACAGGTATAAATCAACCTTATACTAATGGATATATTTTTCCGTTGGTATAGATTAATATATACTGACCATTTAAGTTTTTCGTTGGTATACATAGGTCTATACAGACGGACTTCCATCCGTTGGTATAGAGCTCTGTTAGTATAGGTTAGTTTGTTTGTAGTGAATCGATGTTTTTGATCCACTTGAACCCTTTGAGTAGGAAAAATCTCCTACCAATCACATTTGAATAAAACAACTGCTTATCGATGGATCGATCCATAATACTCAATCTAAATTATTTCTTGAAGCACACCATAAAAATCATAATCTGATTCAATACCAATAGATACAACAACACAGACACCATAATTCATTGTTCGCTTATTTCTACCATAGAGGGTAGTGTGAAATCGAAATCCATTAACAATATATCCATTATAGCAAGAAAGATAATTTTTTGGACCACTGGATAAACCTTTGATATGCTCATGGACATTAATGAATTCATCACTAATTACCTAAAATATATAGATTGCAAAAGAAAATGTTAGATGCATTTGAAGAGAAATAACATATATATGTTAAAGAATTGAATAGTCATATTAGTAAATACTCACAGCTTGTTCAAACTAGGGCACAAGGTCTCTCTCTCGTTTTGCTTGAATTTGTTAAGGATTCATATTTTGACATTGTTCTCTCTCAAATAAACTAGAAAATATGATAATAGTTTTTTATATATTGTTAGCAGTTTAATTTCAATAAATCTTAATATAACAAATTAAAGATTTTAGTGTAGGTTTTTACTTGACCCATCCTCGCAATTCTTCGCAATTCATTAACACATAATACGAAGCAGCTTTGCGTTCCTCTACCATCAAGCAACATCTTCCAATTTTGGAACCAATACATTTTCCAACACATTTAAAGATGGATAGGCCACTATTATCACCAAATCCAACAACAATATTTCTAGGGGGATTATCAACTGTACTATGTACTCCATCATCAAAGTAATGAAAGATAAAATTTGTGATCTTAGACATTATGTAACTTTCACATATGGATGCTTTAGGACACGCTTTCTTTTTCACCATCAACTTAAGACAATGCATTCGCCTGATTCACAAGAATTATTATATAATTATGTTATGATTAAAATACTAATTTGGTACCTCAACTTCTAATTTTATATCAAATATACCCTCAAATTTTAAAAAGGTTTCAAAATGGTCCTTGAAAGGACCATTTTTAATTCTTTTTTAAGTTCAATGGTAGCTTTGATATAAAATTAAAAGTTGAAGTACCAAATTGGTATACTAACCTCAATGCAACAAAATATCATATATGGAGTTATATTTAGTTTCATATATTATACATTAATTATATTTACCTCTCAAATGGATATATCCATCAAAATTGCACCGATCCTCCTACATGAGCCTCGTATGGAAGGTGGATTACAAGATGCTCCATACTGTCAAAGAATGAAGGTGGAAAGATTTGCTCTAGCTTACAAATGATTTCTACTATCCTTTCCTGCCATATTGCCATGTCATTGACCTGAATCACCGGAGCACACAAGGCCCTAAATAACTCACTAATCTCAACAAGTGGCTCCCAAACTTGTTTCGGTAATAAATCACGAAATGCAATTGGTATAAGGCTTTGCATGAAAATGTGATAGTCGTGACTTTTCATACTGAATAATCATGCCTCTTGTGTATTGACACACCAAAATATATTGGAGGCAAATCCATCAGGGAATTTAAGTTCCTTCGACCATTGACATATTGATTTTCTTTGATCCCTACTAAGAACATAAGTGGCCTTTGGCTTTTTACCCGAATTCCATCCTATTTTCGGTATGTGCAGAGTTTTCCTTTTACAATACAATTCCAGATCAAGTCTTGCATTTATGTTATCTTTTGTCATAGGGTCATCCATTACTGTATGAAGGATATTGTCAAAAAAGTTTTTCTCACAGTGCATGACATCTAAATTCTGTTGAACCAAGTTTGTGTGCCAATATGGTAATTCCCAAAAGATGCTCTTTTTAACCCAATTGTGCACTTCACCAAATCTGTGGATTTCCTGTTTCTCAAGTGGCTTACCAAATAGTACATCAAGCAGCCAATGGATGCGACTACGCATCTCATCACCAGACAACCTCTCTGGCATTGTTCCATTCTCTATACGACCCTTTATGAAGTCATTCTTGCTTCTTCTAAATGGATGCTCTGGTGGCAAAAACTATCAATGACAATCAAAAAAATGATGTTTTCCGACCGTTTTCCAACCAAAAGGCCTTCGAATTTTCCATGTAATAGGGACAAGCTAATTTACCATGTGTGCTCCACCCAGACAACATTCCATACCCAGGTAAGCCACTAATGATCCACATAAATGCAGCCCTCATCAGAAAGTGTTGACACCTAAAGCTGCTTTAAATCATCGATTAGTGAAGCATTACATCAATATTCTTTCTAGGACTTTGGGGACCTTGGATAATCAATGAAAGGAATACATATTCTTGCTTCATGCACATTGTTGGAGGCAAGTTATAAACTAACACAAATACTGCCCAACAAGAGTATGGAGATGCAGAATGTCCAAAAGGAGTGAACCCATCAGTGCACAGACCTAACCTAACATTCCTCGGTTTAGTAGCAAACTTAGGGTGAGTGCTATCAAAATGCTTCCATGCCTCTCCACATGTAAGATGAAAAATTTTTTCATTTTCATTATGACAATTTACATGCCAAGTCATATGCTCGACAGTTTTCCTAGACATATACAATCTCTGAAGTCTAGGAATAATTGGAAGATACCACAAAGACTTTCTTGGTATAGGCTTAGCAGAACGCACATCATGTTGCTTAAATTGTGGCTCTTCACATATCGAGCACTGTAAATAACACTGACTTTTATATTCTCCATAATACAAAATGCAATTATTCACACAAACATCATACTTTTGATACCCGAGACCCAGATGCCTCAACATCTTCTTGGCATTATAATAATATGTTGGCAATTTCTCCTTATCAACTTTTTTGAAGGCCATTAGACTACGCTTTAGCACATAGTCCCAATTAGTAACACTCATGTTAAAAAGTGTTTTTGCACTCACGAGCTCACACACCCACTTTAAGACAGTGACACCATCATCACACCCTTCAAAAAGAGGTGTATCAGCTGCTCACAAAAGATCAAAGAACTCTTTTGCATCTCCTCTTAGCTCCTCAAATATCGATTCTGTACTGGCACCATATGGATCACCAAAACTAGCATCAACTTGTGTTGCATCTTTTACCCATGTGGCACTATTTTCATTATTAAAAAAATTTGGTCCCACGGCATCATGAAGCATGTCTCTAAGTTGATCGACACTTAGAACATTATTCATAGCAGCAGCAACAACTGCACTTGATGATTCACCCACTTAAGTGCAACACCGTTTTCTATGAATAATTTCTCTGTGTCTTTTCCAAATAAAATACCCATCCATGAAGCTGTTCTTAATAAGATGAGATTGCACTTTGTGTCGATGATGCCATTCTCTATTCCAACACTTACTACACGGACACCGAATCATATTCATTGCACAAAACATCAAGTCCGTTTGTGAGAATGCAAAATCTAAGAAAATCTCTACCCCAGCATTAAAGTCATTGTTCCAATACCCTATTTCATCTTGACGACGATATATCCAACTCCGATCTTCTCCATAACTAAGTAGTACGTGCCTTAAAAATTCAATAATATCTTAATATTATATAACAAGCACTAAAATCATAAATATCAATTTTGGTCCATCAACTTTATGATTTTATATAATTTTCATCTCTCAACTTTTTTTTTGCTCATATTGGTCCTTCAACTATAAATAATGTACATTTTTAGTTCTTCTGTCAATTAAGTTTCTTTAGCACATTGATAAAAGGACTAAAAATGTAAATTACTCATAATTGAGGGACCAAAATGAGCAAAAAAAAGGATAAAGGACAAAAATTATGTAAAATCTTAAAATTGAGGAATCAAAATTAGCATTTATCCTTTTAAAATTACATATGCTACAATAATATATATAATTACATTTTTAACCAACTAAAAATCTACCTAATTTAGTT